ATCCGAATCTGGTGGGATGACTAAGCTGACACGCAGAGGCCCCTACCTGGCGCGCCAACTGTCGGTGTTTTGGAACCGGGGGTCCTTAACCGACTAGTGAATTTGTGCTGCGTGCTCCCAATTCCGGATGGAGATGCAAAGAGACACAAGGTTTATACCGTTCGGGCAATGGATACCCTACGCCCATCGAGAAGATGTTCTTGTATTCCTTGCACCGGGTGCTCGTAGTAGGGGGTTACAAGCTAGGCGAGAGAGGGAGTTCGTCCCTGTGTCTCTCGTGAGGGGAGGTGATATGAATTACGTAATGAGGCGTGTTGTTCGTAAGCAGTATTCGTGATTCTCCTCATCGCCCTAGAAACGGTCCCGGGCCCTCCTTTTATAGCCGCAGGGGAGAAACCAGAGTACATAAGAGAGCTACACGTGGAGCAAGGACTATTCGATGACGATTTACTCCCGGAGCAAAGATGGCGCTTGTCGTGGGAGTTCCCATAGATGTCTAATCGGTATGGTCTCCATCGCAAGTAACATGCCGCGCATTTGTTGACTTGGTGGATTGCAGAGGCTCGGCGCCATCGTAGCTGGCCGTGCCGAGGCCTGCCGTGCCGAGGCTCACAGCCGAGGCCGCCGCAGTGAGGCCGGAGAAGTGACCCAGTGCGTATGCGGGTCTCAGCAGCCATCGTGGAATAGTGCGAGACGTGCGCCTATGGGATACGCACCAGTATTTGTCGAGGGGATGGTAGAAAAGGTGATCTCGACCGCTGTCCCGTCGCCGCTGTGCTGCAACCAAGACCGCCGATCGTGGCTTACGAGGCGGGTGCAAATGAGCGCATTAATCGGATGCGACGACCGCCAGAGAGACTTTTGAGGCGGAGGCGACGAGGTTGCGGGATTTGCCCCGCCTCGGCGAGGCGGAGCGTGGCCAATTGTCCGAGGGCCTACCGGGGGTCCCGGCGGGCGGACGGGCGAGGCGGAGTAAGATCGCGAATCTGAGGCCCCGCCGAGGGGCTCGGGCGAGAGCGGAGCGGTCGGTCCGCTGATTCGAGGCTACAGGAACCCGCTCGACTCCCCACGCTATGCGATGTCCTTGGTGCAGGAGTTAGGCAGCAAGACAAAGGTGGTAAACCCCTCTCTGCGCGCCGCCGCAGATGGCGGGAGGTTGACGCGACCGGCGTGTAGTCGGTCACTTCACTACCAGATCTTGTGCCATCGTAAGCGCCGTCGGCCGGAGTGGTTGGGCGCTTGGATGCGACGCTCGTCGGTCGAGCAGTTTGGTTGAAGAGGCGGCCACGGGTCGGTGCCGAGCCGGCCTCGCGCTGAATCGGAGAATCGACACTTCTTCCGAGGCCCCGGGCGAGGGGCCTCGACGAGGGGGCCTCGGCGAGGCGGTCTCGGGCGAGTCGGAGAATCGTTTGCTTCCGCTGGGGCTCGGCGACGGGGTCTCGGGCGAATCGGAGATTTCGGCCGAGACCTCGTTCGTTTATTCCGTTGGTTCTGCTCTTAGGGTCTAAGCAGTTTTTTCGACCTTTGCTCGGGGTACCCTATTTTTGGGTATCCGACACTATGTATGTAGACATAGTGTATATCTAAGTGCATAGCAAAAGACATGAATGTAGAAAAACCAAATGTCTTATAATTTGGAACCAAAGGTACTCTGTTGTTACCACTCTGGTTTGCTGCTCTGATGATATGAAGATATATTCCAGTATTGTGAATTTTGTATTCGGCCACACCTTATCTTTTGAAACACAGAATTTCTGTCTGAATGATGACTGCCTGTCATTCTTGCACTTTGCAAACTCACTTGTGAGATTCATATACATTCCTCTGCTGGTTTGTTGGTTTTTATATTTACACACCCTTTTGATCAAAATGAATATATATATCACCGGCCAATTGATGGATGAATTGCTCGATTGGAAATTCTTAATGTACCCTGTTAAGAATCAATCAAGAATATAAATAACAAGAAATTCTTAATGTACCCATGTTTGACTGCATTATTATCTCCTCTGCTCTCTTCTCCTTGCATTGTGAGACCGAGAGGGAGGGGAGGGGAGGGGAATGATCATAATTCATACATGCATGCAGATCGCCGCATTGAACAAGAATGAACAAATGAAGAATGTGTGGTGTGGTGGATGGATCATGGATGCCTTTTTGTTGTTCTTATATGTTATTAATTATTACTGGGCGGAGGGAGCTTCAGAGGCGGGGCAATGGCGGCCCAGGACTTTGCACTCCAGCTCGTTCTTGCCCTTGGAGATGCCCGCCATCACGGTGTGCAGCCCCGCCTTGGCCTTGGCGCCTATCGTCGTCTTGTGGCTGGGGCTGGGTTCCTCGCTCGCCGGCGCTGGTGCCGGAGCTCCATCGCCGACGCCTGTCGTGTCCTCGTCCGCCACCGCTGGCGCATCAGCTTCCGGTGCATCAGCATCCGCAACCGCCGGCGCCGCTGACCCCTCCTCCTCTGCCGCGGCAGCCAGGGAATGCTCCATTGCTGCCGCCAGGAGCGCCACCAGCAGCGCCAATGCGACCAAGGACGGCGTCCTCCATGATGCCTTGCCCATCGCCGTCCGTCGACGTACTGTTGTGTTAGATGTTTTTCTTGGATCACCGGAAGTGATGGAGGAATGCGACACTACCAATCTTCTATAAATAATGTCATTACTGCTAATATTATTATAGAGAGAGGTCGTCAGGGCCTAAAAAACAGATGGTGCAGAGCCGCTATGCTATGCTTAGGAACTCTATTAATAAAACTGTTTGTTGGATGCTATCTTTAGGAATGTATGCAAGCAGAAGCCAGTGCCTTGCCAGTTCCCCCCTCTTTCTTCTCTGATCAGCTAATGTGTGCCATATTTTTTTTATTTCTCCCACTGCATTTCTGGCTGACATTATTAGCAATTCGTTCCAGAATTGTTTAGAGGAAAGGAAGGAAGGAAGGAAGGAAACATAATGAATATAACATTATTCTTTTAGTTTAGCAGTTTGCAACCGCATGTATGTCGTCAGACTCAGAGCTTATGCTGCCATGCCATCGGATCATCATTGTGAAAGTGAAATATACTGCAAATGGAGCGAGAGCTATTCAACTGAAGACAACCCATTTCACGTTCTCGAAACCAAAGGCAGAAAGTGAGATGCATGGTGCATTGGTGCTCCTGCTCATGCTCCACAAGGGAGAGGAGAACTGGGTGGAAGCCATATGTAATGTAGTACATGGCTTGGCTTGCTCTTAGTCTTAGCCTTATCTTCACACAAGCTAACTACCACCGTTCAGCTTCAGTCATATCGATCATCCTTTAGTGGTGAACAAGAATCGTCTCATCATCATCATATATAGGAGAAAGAAAGGTAGTGAACGATCATCTACGTCTCTGTCACGTCTACACAACATGTACTTATTGTGTAAACTAAAAAAGAAATAAAACATAAGGGACTTCCTTTTCTAATTCTTCGAAATTATCCTTTCGAAAATGTACATATATACTCACTCCATGTAAAAACAACCATCCCTTTAACTTGTCATAATTTATCAAATGGTTAGTTAGTCAACTCAAATAATATGAAGAGTGTATAATACATTTTCCATCAAAATTAGGCACTTTGAGAACATGTATATACACTTACAATTGGTTTCGTTCTCTCGTGCAGTATGTATATCTCTATCTATGAGAAGCAACCAAATATCAAACTTTGAACAGAACAGTGAGGTCAAAGTTATCAATTAATTGTTGTTTGTAAAGGAGAGAATATTTAATTTTGCAAGAGGCAGATGGATGCTGAGAAATTAAGTAGCTGCCTGAGATATGGTTGTAGTAGTTGGGATTAAGTTGATGATTATGATAGCATGCAGGCATGACCTAACTAATAAGATGGATGGATCCATGGTCCTCCTAACTCTCATGCATGTCTTGTATAACATTTGGGTATATGGTAGAGTCTAAGTAAAAGAGAGAGACTTGAATATCAACACGTACGGTCTCTATAACACAAATTTTAACACTACAATTTCTCCTATACAGTCCCTTTATTTGTCTCAAAAAAATGTAATTCTCACTTTTCAAGGACTAAATCTATATAAAAAATATGATATCGAATAAGTACCATATGAGTGGAATATGTATGTCCATAATAAACTTATTTAGAGACATACATATTGATATTATTTTCTAAAAATTTGATCAATCTTAACGTTTGACTAGCTCAAAACCTAGAATTACATTATTTTTTAGGATGGAGGGATCAGTAGTATATATATCCTATCCCTTTGAACCACAGAAAACTTATATGGTTATGAAAGTACCTTTAGTTAGAGACATATAAAACCTCTAAATTTAATGTGTTGAATCTCATTGTACCCTTAATCACAAAGTATTTGATAATAAAAGTTCTGGTAGCTAGGTTAATTATACACAACCCAAAATATCACTCTAGTTCTGTAACGGGAGTAACATTTGGGACAATAGATAATTTTTCTAGTTAACTAGTCACAGTACTCAAAGAATGAATCAGATAACACACACAAAAAATGTTCTTTTCAACTACAATATACTTCGTAGGGGTAGGATTTGCGTACGTGATGTGTTCATATGGTGTGAGTGTGCGTGCGTGTTGTGGACGTCTATGTTGTAATGTGTAATTTAAAAAAAAATTGTTAGTTGTTACGAGAGAAATTATAGAAGCTTGGAGAAGGCAAGTAAAAAAAAAAGTACCTGAACAAAGAAAGAGTTGGTCCGATCCTTTTATTTGCAAGGGGCGGGGCAAAAAAAAAAAATTCCTTTACATATCCACCTTACTACATACACGACACTCTAGACTCTAGTATGGTGATGAAGGACAGAGAGGAGTCAGAAGTAGGAAGACATGTATATATGATGTAGTAATACAGATGCATGCATTAAAAGAAAGAAGCGAATGAAGAAGAGGAGGAAATTAATGAAAAGACGATATGATTGAATCTACAACAAGGTGGCGTGGTGATCGAGATATATTATAGGTAGCTAGTTGCCGGTGGTGATGTGCACTCCGATGACGATGACGAAGAGGGTGATGAGCGCGAAGTAGATGATGGAGTGGACGAGGATGGAGACGGCGCTGGTCTGCAGGTTGCCGAACTCCACGAAGTGGTGGCGGCCGGGGAGCTGGACGAGCAGCCCCGGCGAGAGGAGCACGAACAGCACCAGCCCGATCACCACGGGGCCCCAGTCCGACATCCTCCTCCTGATCTTTCTTCACTTGATCGATCGATGGATGGATGATCGATCGCTTACTACCAGTATAATACTATTGCCGGCTAGCTACCTAGTGTCTTGTTGACTTGCTTGTGGAGTAGTGGCTGGGGGAAGAAGGCCGAGCCGGAGAAGAAGAGGTGAGGTGAGCTATACCTCATCACACGCATGTGGCCTGCATGCTTTCGTTTGGTTTGCTGGTGCATACAGTGCTCGCTCTAGCTCTCTCTCGGCCATGCTTTGCATATTTGATTGCTATGATATGATGATCCGCCTGCTGATTCTGGTTCTGGTTGGTTGGTGATGTCTCGCTTTCCATGGTCGTTCCCACATGACAATGGCATGTCGTCCCCTCTGCCCACACGCCTCTCTTTCAGTTGTGTATAGATTTCTCTTCCTTCACTTCTATTAACCATATATTATGTCTACTGGTATGTATATGTATGTTCAGGACGGAGATACCTTTTTTTGGGTGTGTGTCTGTGTATGTAAACAGAAACAACGCTACTTTTATTTGCTGGTCATTACTTAGGTCAGGTAGTGGAGATTGTTGTCACCAGAAGAGATGACTACTTTATTATAAGGAATTGCTTGCTTTCTTTTTCATTCAGTATGCGGCAGAGCTAGCTAGCGTTTCTTCTTACTAGAAAGTATAAAGTGTGATACTAACAGACACCGAGAGCGAGAGGGATCTATATCTATCTGCTCAACTAATGATATTTATGCAATGTATATGTTGAGCAGCTGAGGTAAGCCTAGCAGCAATAAGTCTTCGTTCAATTGCGTGACCAATCAACCCAACTGATACATGCATTCAGGTGTGCCTTTTAATTTCCTTCTGTCTTTATTTGAGGATGGGGCACAAATTTCAGAGTACGTACAATCATTAGGCTTCAGTCTTGTGGAATTCTCAACATAACAGTTGGAGCATGTATATGTCAACTGTATATTAACGGAGCCCATCTACTTCGTCCACAATAATTTGGTCAACCAAATGCTAATATGCATGTTATTAGAAAAAAAGGAGGGCAATAAAGATCTGTCAAATAGCAAAACATCTAATGGATCCGACTCTTCTCCTGTGCCGCGAGTGTCTTTTGTCCTTGACTTCTCAACATCCGAAAATCCAATAAGGTCAGCAACGGTAAACTCTTGCCTCTTTTGCTTTCGATAAGTGACAAAATCCGGCCACGATGATGGCAACTTTGTAATAATTCTTCTTGCATTGCCACAAACTTATCTAGCAACATACATGGAAAATTCTCGAATTCTTTTGCCAGTGTCTGAATCTCATGAGCTTTCTCTGCTATAGAACGGTCATTGACAATCTTGTACTCATAGAACTAGTCTATGACATATAGCTCGCTCTCAACAACCAATTGTTCTTGTGTGCCATCTCTTATAGTTCGTTCCTTTGAACACGTTTGGATTAAGCGCAACAGCAAATAAAATTGATCAGTAGCCGAAAATGACGAGCTAGTAATTTGGAGATTTCTTTTATTCCTAGAATGAAAATTATGTTAACAGCGGATCAAGGAAGAACGGAGGAATCGGATACAGGCAGGAAAGCAAAGCATGAGAACCGGAAGTAGCGTGAGCTCTTAGCAGTAGTTAGGTTCATTACAATAGCTGATACCCTCCGATACACCGTTCGGCCAGTTTAACTACGCACTCGATACGGTCAGCCGCTGCAGCACGTTCGCCCCGTCGCGGATCACTTGGACGCCCACTCCGGCCCAGCGTAGCGCGGGTTGCCCATTCTGGGCCTCTTCGGTCTTTCTTCTCTTGGCCCAGCTGAACCTGGCATCCGGTCATCGTCAGGCGACGTAGCGCTGACATTCCCCCTCTCTTGCGCGCCATGTTGCAGCCACAGCTTGGCGCGAGGAAACTGCTGATGGAGAGATTCCAAATCTTCCCAAGTGGCTAATGAAATTGGTAAGTTAGACCACTTAATAATACCTTGTTGAATGTATTTCTTACCACGCGGCAACTGCCGGCGCTGAAGAATGCGCTCAGGAACACTCCATTGAGCTGATGCCGGAGGTAAAGTTGAAGTGACAGTGTGTTGAGGACTCACGGCCTTCTTGAGCTGAGAAACATGGAATACAGGATGGATTGTAGAGGACTGTGGAAGTTCCAGCCTGTACGCCACCGAGCCAGCACCTTGTAAGGTCCGAAATACTTGCAAGCGAGCTTATGACTGCTTCGATTGGCAATTGACGTTTGCACATAGAGTTGAAGTTTGAGGAAGACCCAATCATCAACTTGGAATTGTCGCTCAGAACGATTGGAATCAGCAGCCTGCTTCACACGCTGCTTGGCGCGGAGCAAATGCTGTCGTATCAGTTCAGACATCAGCTCACGGTCATGCAGCCACCCCACAATATCAGTCACAGGCTGCTCATCAACAGAACTGAGGACAAAATGTGTAGGAGCATACCCATAAAGCACCTCAAAAGGAGATCTCCCCAGTGCCGAATGCCAACTGGTGTTGTACCAGTACTCAGCCAAATCAATCCACTGATGCCATTGCTTGGGACAAGCATGAACATAGCAGCGCAAGAAGGTTTCCAAACACTGATTGACCCGCTCGGTCTGGCCGTCTGATTGAGGGTGGTAGGCCGTACTCATATGAAGCTCGACTTTGGCCAGCTTGAACAATTCCCGCCATAGAGCATTGGTGAAAATCTTATCACGATCAGAGACAAGGGCCGAAGGCATACCATGAAGGCAATAGACATGAGAAATGAAGTGCTTGGCAACTGTAGCAGCAGTGAAAGGGTGACGGAGACTGAGAAAATGAGCAGGGTGCGGCTCCAGGGTGGGCAGGAGAAGATTGCAGCGGATTGAGGCGGTGGGTTGTGGGATTCGTAGGCTCTGGTACCAATTTGTTAACAGCGGATCAAGGAAGAACGGAGGAATCGGATACAGGCAGGAAAGCAAAGCATGAGAACCGGAAGTAGCGGGAGCTCTTAGCAGTAGTTAGGTTCATTACAATAGCTGATACCCTTCCGATACACCGTTCGGCTAGTTTAACTACGCACTCGACGTTCGCCCCGTCGCGGATCACTTGGACGCCCACTTCAGCCCAGCGTAGCGCGGGTTGTCCATTCTGGGCCTCTTCGGTCTTTCTTCTCTTGGCCTAGCTGAACCCGGCATCCGGTCATCGTCAGGCGACGTAGCGCTGACAAATTATTGTGGAACGAATGGAGTAGCTAGCTAGCTCTCTTGGAGTCTTGGTTGTCCTGTCGTGTGTCAATTCCTGATTTGGACTAACAACTTGTTTTGCTGTGTGTGGCGTGCGTGCAACACCAACCAATGCAAATGAGGCAGCGAATGCAAATCGATCGATCGGTCTATCGTAAGAGTAAAGCAAGGAATCTTCTTGCTGTTACGACCTTTAATTAGCACTGTCGTCCTCCTGCCCTGCCTCTGCCTCGCTATCGATGATGCAATGGGAATCGGATGACCTAGCTTGTTCTGCAAACCTGCCTTGTGTTCAATCTTTTGGATATCGTTTGTGGCTTGCTAGCGAATAAATCAATTTCTCCCGGTTAATAAAGTTTGTGGCTGTCTGTGTCGATCACATATACGACCAGTGGCGAATCTAGGATAAATTGTCGCCGGGGTCGACACATACTCATGACCAAACTTACAATAATCTAAAGCGGGCATAATATAGACATAAATACTAATACCAATGATATATTGCAAAAACTAAGCATTCATAGAGATAAAACTAGCAATGACGTCATCTGAGAAAATAAACTCTTTACAGTAACAATAGTGGTTACCTCTTATAACTTCACTCTATGGGTAGTCATCCATATTCTACGAACTATATATGATCATCATTTGGAATAGCATCAAGAAATTCTTGTTCCACAAAGTTATTGACGTAATCATTCATAAATCCGTCCCCAGTACGATTCCACCATGGACTACCAAGTTCAGAAATAGTATCCAATTGGGCAAATACTGCATCAGCTCACACATTGTCAATGTAAATATGAAGCTCAAGACTAAGATCTTTTAGCTCATTTGAATTAAAATTAGCAGGATAATGCATAAGCAGTCACACTTATATGATTAAAAAAAGCTAATTTCTTTGCCTGGCATCTTGCTGAAATGAGCCAATGGGGAGTAGATCGAAGACAGCGTAACTTTTGAGCGGTCACACTGAGTCCGTGAGTAGGCAGGATGCAGCGACGCCGATGCGCCAGGTTGTAAGGCGCGAGTACGAGTGCGACGCTGGATGCCGATGCGAGTGTGCGACGCTGGGTCGCTCGTCGCTGGCACGTACGCCGTGACGCCAACCGCGAGAAGCCGAAAGGGCGTCGTGCCATCATTGCGAGTATGCCAGAGGTAAGGAGAGAAACCGATCAACAAGGCAACGGAGAGTTGTCTGTTGTCGTTTGAGCTTATGAAACTTCTGGGCTGTTGACTGTTGTTTGTGACTAGTGTCCTTGAGTCCAGATCCACGTAGTGGGCTGCTTGCAGGCTTCAAAATTCTATCGTGACTTTACTTGATGACTTCTGAGTTGGACTATGTGCTGCCCATCTACCGGGGTCAGTTCCTAATTTTGCCGGCCGGGGTCAAGCACGGCCAGGGGCCAGTTTGATGCCAAATTTTTTGGCAAAACGCTACTGTAACGTTTTCGTTGTTATTTGGTAATTAGTGTCCAATCATAATCTAATTATGCTTAAAAGATTCATCTTGTGGATTTCGTCTAAACTGTGTAATTAGTTTTATTTTTTATTTATATTTAATGCTTCATGCATACGTTCAAAGATTCGATGTGACGGAGAATCTTGAAAAATTTGGTATTTTGGGGTGCAACTAAACAGTGCCCAGGTAAGATACGTATAGGGGGATTCTCACGAAGTTATCGGGGTCTGCCGACCCCGACGATATGAGGCAGATTCGCCCCTGTATACGACATACGGTAGTGTTCAGTGCAGACTGCTGAGAGAGTTGGTGAGAG